GTCTGCTTGCTTGTCCTTTCACCTGTGAGTTGAGGGTAGGGAGCACTATCTCCGGCAGAAGATGGAATTTTGAAGCCACCTTTGGCACAAAACCCAAAATGGGTACCAATACTACCCTGTAGTATAAGTGATGAAGGGCTCCTTGTAGCTGAGAGGCGCAAGCTCCGAGACCCTCCTGGCTGAGGAGACGGCCACCACAAAAACTGTTTTGAAGGTTAGAAGCTCCAATGAGACACCCGTCTCAAAGATATCTGATGCAAGAAAATCCAAGACCAGTGGGAGATCCCACTTGGGGAAGAGTAGTTTCCTGGGAGTTCTCAACCGAATGACTGCCTTAAAAAAACGTAACAATCAAGGGCTCCATTGCCCATTGCGTCCCAGTGAAGGCAGATAGAGCTGAAATATGTCCCTTGAGGGTACTGGAACTCAACTGCATGTCGAGACCCCTTTGAAGAAAATCAAGGACATGCGTGACCCAAGGGGCTTCCGGGGAGAAATCATGTTGGGATGCAAACTCAAGAAACTTCGTCCACACTCTATTATAAGATTTGTTGGTGCTTGCCTTTCTGGCCTTAAGCAGCGTGGACACGACAGTGGCTGAACATCCCTGGTCCTCTAACCTCTGCCTCTCAACATCCAGGCGGTCAGACAAAGGCATTCGGGTGCCGGATGGAAGAATGGACCCTGCGTCAGCAGGTCTCTGGACAACGGCAGGGTAGACAAGACTGCCCACTGTCAGCTCCCTGAGAAGCGAGTACCAGGGGCTACACGGCCAGTTCGGAATAACTGCCAGAATCAGGACCCTCTCTCTCTCTGGAGTCTTCTCAGGAAGGCCAGAATGAGAGGCACTGGGGGAAAGGCGTAAGCCGTCCGAAACTTTATCCGCGGTCAGTGCGTCCGTAGCTGCCGCCCTATGGGCATGGTAGTCGGGAGAAAAATGTTGCCACCTTCGCATTCTCCCGTGACACAAACAGGTCTGCCTGTGGCAAAAAAGCCCATTCCATCAGGGTCTGGAAGACTTGGGGAGACAGGGACCATTCGTTGTTGTCCAAATCCCATCTGGATAGGAAGTCCGCCTGGACATTTTTTTCCCTGGCACGTATACCGCTGAAAGCAGATTCAGATGTTCTTGGGCCCATGTCATGATTGGAGCGATTTCTCGTGTGAGCGTGAGACTGTGCATGCCACCTTGGTGCTTGACGTATGCTACTGCCGTAGTGTTGTCCATGTGTAGGAGAACTGAGCGACCCTCGATCAAGGGTCTGAATGCTCAAAGAGCCTGAAAGGCCGCCCTCAGTTCCAAAACATTCGATACTATGCTCGCAGCCGGGAAGCTCCACTTCCCCTGCAATGTCTGAGCTAGGCAGACTGCACCCCAGCCTGAGTTGCTGGCATCCGTCGTGATCACGACCCACTGTGTCGAAAGAAGAGAATGGCTGCAAAGGAGGTTGCCATCTTGAAGCCACCACAACAGACTCCGTTTCATGGAAGGGCTCACTAAGATCCTCTGATCAAGAAGCTCCGTGCACCATCGTCTTAGGAAGCCGTTCTGAAACCCCCCTCCGTAAGGCTCACTTCACCATGGGGGTAGTCGCGATCATAGTGCCGACCACCTGTAAGCATTGTCTTGCCGACAGGGTCGTAGCACCAAGGGCCTTGGAAATTCTCTGCCGAATGATCGGCACCTTCTCCGGAGGTAGAGCAATGGAGGCCTTCACCGTATCCACCCTTGCCTCTAGGTGCACAAGATCTTGCATGGGCGAAAGATGGCTTTTTTCTTTGTTGATCAGCCATCCAAAAGGCGTTGAGGGTGGCGAGAACCAGTTCCCGGTGGATCAGCAACTTCTCCCAATCCTGGCTGGGTACTAGGATGTCCTCCAGATAGTGGAGGATTCTCACCCCTTGCTCTCGCAGATAAGCCACCAGGGCCAGTAGTATATTCGTGAAAACCCTTGGCGATGTTGTGAGGCCTTAGGGCAAACAAACAAATTGTAGGTGCAGTTGGCCCACAGAGAACCAAAGGAAGCACTGGAACTGCGGGTGTACCGGCACATGTAAGTATACGTCTTTCAAGTCTTCGGAAAGAAGCCAGTCAAGATTGTAGGGAGAGACTCCATCTTGAAGCGTTCCCTCAAAATGTGCTTGTTGAGCCACCTGAGGTTGATAACGGGTCTCCATTCTCCGTTTTTCTTCTGGACTAGGAATAAAGGAGAATAAAGCCCCGAAAATCGTTCCTGGGCAGGCACTTCTATCGCTGGTCCTTGTTGTAACAGGGTTTGAACGTAGGCTTCTAATATGGTCCTTTGATGTATCCCAGCGGGAACCCTGGTGGTCACAATCCTTGTACCTGGTACCCTGTGGAATCTCCACGTATGTACGTCGGAGACGGTGGACACCACCCACTGGTCCTTTACGTTGTCTGCCCAAACCTGCCTGAACCTGGCTCCCACAAGGCAGATTGGAGCGGGCAAAACTTCAAAAGGACTTCGGGCCATCTGGCGTCGAGGTCGCAGGGGTCCTCTTGGCTCTTGCTGCTGAGGCTTTCCATGGCCTGCGATACTCCTTCCGGGGTTTGCAGGACCTTGTGTCCCTATTAAATCGTGGTGCTCGGCCCTGGAAACGTGCATTCTTCTGGCGAAGGAGCCACCGATCCTGTGGAATAAAGCTGGACTTTCCTCCTGTGGCTTTAGAGATGGCTGTTTTCAACTTGCTCCCAAAGAGGGATTGACCCTCGAAGGGGATTTTGCACCATCCCTGCTTGGAGGTCAGATCTGCGACCCATGGTTGAAGCCAAAGGGCTCGTATACCAGTCACTGCAGATAACATGATTCTTGCCATAGAGCGGACAAAATCAACCACCGCTTCTGCAATAAAGGCTGAGGAAAGTCTGATATGCCTGAGAGACTCCATGATCTCGGTTTTACCGAGATCACTGGATACCACTGTCTCAGTCTCTGTTACCCAAACCTCAAGGGCCTTTAAGGTCACTGCTAAGGCCATGGCTGTTTTACAGCCATCCCCTGCCGTGAGATACACTTTCTTCAAATCAAGGACATCACGGAAGGTTACCGCATTATCAAGGGGCAGCGTTACATGCCTCGCCAGCCTCATTAAGGCGGCATCAACTACTGGAGATTCATCCAGGTATTTGACTTCATCCTTCTTGAAGGGGTATAATTTTGCAAAACGATTACACAGCCCTGACTTGCGTTCCACGTTCTCCCATTCCTCTGAGATGAGATCCTTGATCTCCTTGAAGAACAGAAAACTACATGGTTCTTTTTTTATGTTTGAAAAACTTACGCTTGTGGTCTGGTTCCACAGCATCATCTTCCCATAGAAGAGCGTGCTGCACGGACTTGATAAATGAAGGCACCAATGCAAAGTCAAAGCCATCCGGCTCTTCTTCCTCGGATCGATATTCCGAGTCGGATAGTATGATCCTTTGCGGAGCCTCTCTATGGGAACTTTGCTCCGCATCCTGTCTCCCGTGAGCAGAGGTGGATGCTTCCTGTAGATCCCCTGCCCGATTGACAGCAGCAAACTCCTGCAGGGACTCCTGGAACACCTGCTTCATTAAGGAGATTACCTGTAGGCTATTGTTGTCCTTATTCCTGTTGGCATCAGCAAAACAGGACCCACATTTATTTGTGTATCCAAATCAGTATAGTTTTGAGAGAAGAATGAAGCAGGCAGCCTATGTGTTAAATGATCTTTATTCTCAAATGAATTTATAGCCCATTGTGAAATTCTTTCAAAAGTCTCCTCCCCTGACTTTATGGCAGCATAAGGCAGGGATGGCCAAACTGCGGCCCTCCAGCTGTGGTGGAACTATGAATCCCATGAGGCTTTGTAAGATTCTCACAGTCACGACTCCCGGAGAGAGATGCTGGAGGGCTAGAGTTTGGCCATCCCTGGCATAAGGCATCAGTGCCACCCATTTCACCAGTTGGCCAATAAAATTCACCAACAGAATTTCTCAGCATCATATCACCAACTACATATCCAAATAAAATGGTTCTGGGTGGAGGTTTTCTTGGAGAGGCGGGCATTCTCAGAGCTAATAATGTTTGCTTACATCACTACATTCTAAAAAATCCAGGTTGAATCGCCCAAGGGACCAAGTGCATGTAGCATTTGGTCCCATTTTGATCCATGGACCATTATTTGTTAAAAGACCATTTTTTTTGTATTGTCTGTGCTGGCGCCACACCTGGCAGTAGCCCAATTTGAGGGTGTATGGATGTGGGAGGTACAGCTTGCACAGTAGCCACCACCACCTCTTTCCTGCACTGGGGCAAAATCATTTGTATGAATTTTCACAGGTGAGTCCAGGCAACAGAAGACATCAAGGAGAAGTCTTTAAAACCTTATTGCCACAGTCTTCCTGGGCAGGGCTGCGTGATCAGCCAGATTCTTGTAAATATTCGGCATCCTCTGTTGCCTGAATGCACCTCAGGGAACTTTAGCAGTCTATGTTAACAAGCAGTGGCTGATCACCTGCAAGTGCAGGTTCTGGCAGTATAATTTGTATAACTTCCTCCTTAGCGTTTTAATTTGCCTGAAGGTGCCTTGGGGAAGTTATACAAACTATTCTTACAAGTTCCCTTTCAGGTCAGCTTGGGGGACGTGAAGTGTAGTGCAACCTAAAATTGTCTGGAAGTTCCCCATCAGGTCCACCCACAATGGAGGGGAGCAGGACCTGCTGGGGATGGAATTTGGTGCAGCCTAGAATGATCAGGAAGTTCCTCATTAGGTCAACTCATAGTAAAAGGGGCAGAGCCTGTTGGAGACAGGAGAGTTCTGCCTCTGGTATTTTGCTTACATGTCAGGATAGTTTGTATAACTTACTTACTCCATTGAAGGATTTAACTCCAAATATAGTGATACTTCTTTAAATCAGTTCACAACAAATAACAGTTTTATTTATCTGGGGAAATAAAACATTTTAAATTGAGTTCCATGGTAAAGTTTTGTTTGTGGTGTTAACGGTCCTGTATTTAGTTCTCTTTAGTGGTTTTCTTTTGCTGTTTTTCCTTCATCTTCCGCCTTTCTCTGCCCAGTTGCCTATACTGCAACCTCTTGGGGTTCAAGCCATATGCCCGCAGTCTTTGCCCACTAAATTCCCTTCCACCCAATCGCACCATGGCACCCAGAAGATGCCCGCCCTTCCGTTTTAGTTTCTTTTTCTTTGCTTTCAAACACAGGTCATTCACTTTTGCCTCCAGTACTTCAGCCTGGGCAGAAACTGTCTTCCCTGCGAGTAGACTGTTGGCACTTGGCTTGTCCTTGGTGCTTTTACTCTCTGCTGCTGCCTTCAGTACTTTAGTCTTGGCAGAGTCCTTCTTCGCTGCAGGTATACTATTGTGACTTGGCTTGTCCTCTGAGCTTTTATTCGCTAATGCCTTCAGTTCTTCAGCCTTGGCAAACACTTTCTTCGCTGTGGGTATACTGCTGGCATCTGACTTGCCAATGGTCTTTACTTCACCACGACCCACCTTGGGCAAAGACTGTTTTGTCAGTTCTGTTTCGGCAGAGGCTGACTTCTCTCTTACCTCCAGCTTTGGCAAAGCTTCAGTGTATGGAGATTTCTTCTGACCTACGTCTAGCTGCATTGTTTCTTCTGATTCAGCAGATTTTAGCACCAGCTTGCTCTCTTCTGATTGGTTTTTCAGTTTTTCTCTGCGTTTCTTTCCTACCTTGGTCTTGGAGGGGACTGAAGATTCTGAGTTTTCAGCACTACAGAGCATAAAATATAGAGGTATAGTTCTTGAGCATTTTAAAATGAATACATGGCTACCCCTTGTGCTCACACATTCCACATCCACCCCATTTGCTACCCCGCATTGCATCTGGCTAGAAGGCAAAGGAATACGAACGCTTTTATTTGCTCCCGCAGGTTTCCTACTTTCTGAGCAATCTGTCCTCCAAAGCCACTTCACGGCACTATCTAGCCAGTCACAGCTCTCGTATATAGGACCAGCAGTCTAGTATTGTACGTGAGGACATCAAGGGCCTGTCCACAACCCAGGATGCTGGACAGAGAAGGAGAGGCCGGGGAAGTGAGGAATAAGGTATTTGTGCTTATTCCTTTGCCCCTAACCAAACAAGGATTTTACCCATGCAGTGTGGAGTGGACTTTACTGAATGGGTAAATTTGGGTAAATTTGAAAGCATGCTAGGGTTGTGCTTTAAGCCAGCCCTGGACTACCCCTTTTCCTCATTCTCGTCATTTCATAACAAGGGGATGTGTTCTGTTATATATAATAAGAGTACCTGCAACACTGCTTGGGATTTCAGTGCAGCAGCGCCACTGAGCTGTGAGCTCAAAAAGGATGTTAGGAAATCAATGGATTTCTGGCAGATAAACCCTTTGTACTGTATTTGCAGCATTTTTAAAGAGATAAAAACCACTAGGAAATGTGCAAGTATTGCAGATAAGTTTTTTTTTTTCCACCCCAGACATACACTTGCATGGGGCCTCCCTACTAAATAAATGCGCCTTTCTGACTTTCTCAGTTCCCCTTTAGGATAACCTGCATCCACCACTCATGTGAATGAGCCCTAGCCAATCTGTCCACTCTAAGCTAACTTGTGATCGGTTAGCTGCTACTCCACGATTATTCCTATATAATTAAGTAAACCTACCTCTGAGTAACAGACTTTAGGATTTGCTGTTTCTTCCAAAGATTTTGTCCTTTCTGGCTGAAGATATTTTGGTCATAAAGGTCTTCTTTATCAGATCTGTAACATAGTTCAAAATCCTGGTTACAAAGTTTCTTACCTGGCACAGACTAGAACTTAACCCAAAGACTATAAAAGGTTGGGCTATGGCACAATCCGACCCCTCATAAAGAAAGCTCATGCCAGAGTACTTTATTAACATGTAGCCAAAATGTAATCCCACACAGCCAAACTTCTTCTGTGTGAAGGGGGGAAAGCAAGGAAGGTTCCAACCTTCCCAGAGGAATGATACTGTTCAACAGGTTATATAAACTTTCCATTTACTAGTTTTCTCTTAAAAGTACAACTATGGCCTCCCATAAAAATATATGTGATGCAGCACTTTATTATAGGTGCATCTACACTTTCAGTTTTCATGGTCATGTTTTCTGCCTTGAGGAAAGGACCCTGCGCGGCCCCGAAATGTCGGTTCTTTTGATTTCTATGACGCCTCTGTCCAGTAAAGGGACAACATTTGCTTTCATTACTGAGTGCTGGTGATTCCCTGCTTGTTAAATGTTGAAGGGGACGTGGCTTTTAGGATGGTCAATGCTGATTTACAGGCTTGTAGCTTGTCGATCAGCTCCTGGCCACACCTAGTCCTGCCCACCATTTCTGGATTGACAGAACTGCATCTGTTGGTGAAAGATTGTGAGCTGCAGTGTCTAGGAAGGGGAGCGTGAAACATAAAATGGAGGATTTGGCCCAGTCAAGGAAGGTATAGGGCGTTTTTTGTTTACTTTATAAGTAGGGATGCACCGATACTAGTATCGGTGCCGATGCAGAGTATTTGGGCGAGTACTCGTACTCGCCCAAATGCTCCGATGCCTAGACCAATACTTCCGGTATCAGGAAGCCGGCTCCATGCTCTCTCATCACAAGTGACGAGAGAGCATGGAGCCAGCTTCCCGGCCAATCAGGAAGCCGGGCAAAGTGTAATGACACGCTGCCCGGCCTCCTGATTGGTCGGGGAAGCTGGCCAATTAGAAAGCCAGGTGACGTGTAATGGCGTGGAGCCTGGCTTTCTGAATGGTCGGGAAGCAGGCTTCGTGCTCCATCGTCACCTCATGACAAGGGAGCATGGAGTCGGCTTCCCGGCCAATCAGGAAGCCGGGCAAAGTGTAATGACACGCTGCCCGGCCTCCTGATTGGTCGGGAAGCTGGCCAATTAGAAAGCCAGGTGACGTGTAATGGCCCGGAGCCTGGCTTTCTGAATGGTCGGGAAGCAGGCTTCGTGCTCCATCGTCACCTCATGACAAGGGAGCATGGAGTCGGCTTCCCGGCCAATCAGGAAGCCGGGCGTTGCATTAATACACAGCGCCCGGGTCAGCATGTACCCATACCACATCCCGAACCCGGTGATATACTGAGGACCCCTGACCCCACTTGCTTTACTTGCCTCACACCCTTGAGGAAGTGTCAGCAACACCCTTGTCAGAACAAATACCCTTTAACTATCAGATCTAGACAGAACACCAACTCCCACCCCCATTACTCTCTATTTATATCAAAGACGCGTTCTGTACCTCCTATAACCATTTTTTCCCCCTTTTTTTTCCCCCTTCCCAGCCCTGGACGGGCCTTGCACGAGTGGCGAGTCTTTACACGCTGCCCGGCATCCCGACTAATCAGGAAGCCAGGTGGCAAGTCAATGTTTGGCTTCCTGAATTGGACTTCTGGTACTCGGTATCGGCAAGTACCGCAAAAAATATATTGGTACTTCGATACTGAAATACCGGTATCGGTGCATCCCTATTTATAAGGGTTGTGCATCACATAGTAACTGGGACTTGTTTAGACCGTCAAACAGAAGTTCTACTTTAACAGTGACTGACCTAGATTGCATAGTTGGTTTCCATATTTTGTGACATGATGGAAATGAAAACCTCACTATGCCAGTTGGATCAAGTGTTCTATACCTCGGGCTGCATTTGTGAGCCAGCTGCCCAAATAAAAATAAAAAGGACAGAACCCTCTTCCTACCCTATTCCACCATTGGATTTTTTTTTAACATGGATCAAAGATATGGAAGCACATTTAACTTTAAAGCTGAACTCCGGACAGATATAAAAGAGATAAATGTAGTCTTGTATTCATTTATACATTATTAAATGTATTTCTTTAAATGCATGCATTATAAGTACCTGAATTTGACTAGGTATTGGCCAAATCCAGTATAGCATGCAGGCCCTGCATAGCAGAGCTCAGAGAGGAGAACTTCAGAAACAGCACACGGAGCCAATCAGTTGTGCTGCGGTGCAAGGAAAGGAGGAGAGAGCAAACAGACAAGGAGAGGAGCTCCTGATCCTGCTGCTTCTATTTTCACTGTCCAGTCACAGGCTTGGGTGGAAAGGAGACCTGTAAATGTTACTAAACTGAAGAGAGAAAGATCAGGTCTCCTACCCTGCCAGACAGAGCTGTACTCCGTGACAGCTATTCAAATCACAGGGCTGGATGGACAAAACACAAATCCTTTGGCAAAAAAAAAAAAAAATGAGCTCCTTTATATGCGTTTCATCTATGTTTTAGCCATTTGGCTGAAGTTCCGCTATAAAAGGGGGCAACTCCAGTTCCCTTTTAACCTCCTTATCCATGAATATAATGGTTCTGCTAAAATGGAGTTTAAAGACACAAGCGGGTTCTCACCTGTACATACAAGTCTTCCTTAGTGAACACCATCTGTTGAGTTCCTTGTCATCTGCTTTCAGGATCTGTAGGAGAAAATTAAGTAACTGAATTCCATATTCCGCTGTAGATATACATATGCCCAAAACTACAAACCTAAGCACAGCCACATGACCTGACCACTGAACACTCCAACAGAACTTGCCACTGACATGCTAAATCATTTCAGTCAATCGTGTAGATTTATGCAAAGAAACAACCCCCCCTGACCCTTGTTTCTGGAGAATTCTCCGTCACCTTGAAGATCTCTGGAGCAGGGAAGAGTCTGCAAAGCAAACTGAGGGGATACAGGCAAACGATCACTTACAAATCCATACAAATGATCGTTATCAGGATTGAGCAACAGTCATCTAACGTTTGGGTAGGCTAACATTTAAAGATGAACTATGCTCACCTTCCCCGAAATCTTTGGCCATGCCGGGATGATGCAACTCCTGCGCATGTGCACTGGAGTTCATTCAGGCCGGTTTTCTATCATAGGGAGCTTTGTTGGACCCACGCATTCCCTTTACTTCACACCAAAGTGATGGGAAATCCCCTTTAAACACAGTTATCACCAGAGCAGGTTTTCCCATACCTTCTGTTGGAGTGACTACTATAACATTTTGATTTGCGTTCACTTTGTGTCCTAGGGACAATAATCACCAGGACAAATAGAGGGTGAATCTCCCCATCAAGGAACACAGATGGCAGTAAAAATCTGACAGGGGTTCTAACCCTTCCTTACTTCATCCCAAAGTTTAAAAAAAAGTTTGACTATGCATACGCTTTAATGCAATCTGGAGTTTAAAAAAAAAAACAAAACAAACTGGGTCAGTCCTTTAAAGGTCTCTCAGTTTGCACCTCTCTTGTTTTAGGTTCCAAAACAGCTGCAGGTTGACCTTTTACAGCTTCCATTATACAAGTAAATCTCCTTTTGACTACACTGTATGAGCAGTCAGAATTATAGCAAGGGTTGGTAATCCAATCACTTTTCAAATGCTTTTTAGAGGACATCTCGCACCTATTTGTATAAATGCCTCAACTGAAAAGGATGAAAAACGTTTAGCTAGATAAAACTGTACTCCAGGGGAAAAAAAAAATGACCCCTGCAGTGGGGCTTCCCCAGACTGCAAGGGTTAAATGCTGGATTTGTCTGGGAGGGGGCAGCAAGCAGCATGATCGATCCCACTAGGCTGCATCAGTCGCAGACATGTAGACGTCATCACACACATTGCAGCACCCACAGTGTCATTTAAGACACTGGGGGCTTGGCCACAACTTGAACAGTCGGGGACAAGAGAAGAGTGCTGGCTGCCGGGAAAGCAATGGATAAGGCACGTACACTTGCCTTTTCTGTTCTCCTTAGACAAAAGGTGGATTTAACCCTTGCAGAGCTCAGGAAATCCCACTGCAATGGTAATTTTTTCCCTCCGTGTTCAGCTTTAGGTTAAATACAGCTACAGCTCAACACACTTACTTCCTCAGTGCTGAGTCCAAAGTCACAAGGAACCACCGGACGATACTTGAATCGACATGGCAGATCATCCACAATATCCTCATAGTCTAGCTTGTAAAATTCTTCTACATATTCCTGGAATGTTTTATCATCTGTGTAAAACAGAAATTATGTTATCTGATGATTGTTAGTGCCTTCATTGTACACCCTAAAGCAGGGGTGGGCAACTCCAAACCTCCGGCTGTGCTTTAACTACAAACTCCCATAATTCCTCTGCCTTTGGAAGTCATACCTGTGGCTGTCAGTCTTGCAATGCCTCATGAGACTTGTAGTTCCCCAAAAGCTGGAGGGCTGACGTTGCCCACCCCTGCCCTAAAGTGTATCTGTACTGAAAGGAATATAAAAGGTTGCTGTCTATAGCCTCCTAAAAATACCAGATGTGTAAATATATCTGGATTCTCAGTCACAAACCCAGAACAAGCGTGTGGATAAAGTCAAATGGAAGTAAGAAAACTTTGAGAAAACCTTCCCATGTTACTTTAAAAACCCTGCGACAAACCACACGCCAGCCCTAGTGACCAGTCAGTGAATTCCCCCCCCCCCTATTTATAAACTAGTCTTATTACAAGCCCTGTTTGTTCCTGGCTTAGGATGAAAGACGTTCCAACAGGGAAAGCCCTGTGAAGGAACGATCCCATCACTTCTCTGGAACCGACTCTGCAAGATGACATATGGATAATAATAAAGCAAAAGATAAAACCGACTGCAGGTATGCACGCACAATTTTTAACCACTTGCAGACCAGCCAGTCTGCAGCCCTTTGCTCCAGGAGCACATATCTGCACAATGTCCTAGAATCTCCTGCGTGCACATGCCCAGTATGCACACAAGCCGCTGCCCACAGAAAACAGAGAGCATGGGCTACAGGCGGAGCCAATTGGAGCAGCTCTGTGCCTTGTGATTGGTTATCGCAGCAACCACATGGCAATATTTACATTGCCAAACCCTCCCTCTTACAACAGATGCAAGGGAAACCAGTCATTCATTCATTAGTTCCTGGTTAAAACAAGTTGCAGGAGAAACACAAAATAATAGTGTGTTACATTTTTCATCCATTACACCCATTTCCTCTACATTATATTTCATCCACATTCTATCTCTGCTCCGATATGTATATTAAACCCTTTGCCTCCCTTATCCTGTACATCTATACATTAACCCCTATATCTATCCCTCTGTTTTTGCCCTGTACATTTAATGTATCTAGGGCACAATCACCACACTCAGTGGTATAACCCCTTCAATAGCAGCATGTTTCTTAATTTCCAAAAAAGAAAATCAGATCACCGTGGGGTGTCATTTGGGGCGGGGGTTTATACTGTCCCACAGCCCTACAGCCAGAGCAGGTACACAAGTTCAGCGGGAGCTGGACTTCCACCCGCATTTATACAAGATCTGTGGGGAGAAGGAGGCCGTTCTGAAATATGGCAGGGGAGTTTACAGCAAAGAAACTGTACAACGTAATGAACTCCAGTAAGATTATAGTGCCCGGGGTTAAGTGAATGGGGTTTGTCCTTGGTAAGGAAAAAGGCTCTTCATCACACTAATGCACAAAGCTTGGTATCTTTTGGACATGAAATATACAACATCTGTAGCCTTGCCAGATCAACAGCCAGTCCTCCTCCTATGGCAGCACAGACACTGGGACTAGCCACAGTGTGTTGGAGATTTTCAGCAATAGTGTGCAAAAATGGACCTATACAGAACTTATTAATTAACTAAACAGACTTGCCTGTCTGACTGACCTGGGTTAAATATGGGTTTGTCTTTGCTCACAGCTTCAGCAAACACAGACTTCTTTCTCTTCTTTGCATTCTTTTCTCTCTCCAGCCGGAGCCGCTTTCTTTCCTTACGTGATGGTGCAGGAGCTGCTTGAGGGTCGTACTCTGCATCCATCTGAAAAACAAAAAGGAAGGGCTTGCGAATATGACCAAAACAACTCCTACACAATGTTAGGGTTCACCTACCAGCCATCAGCTGACCATGAAAGTGTCATAAACACATCACTTTGCATGCACCAAATACCTTGGCCAGTGACATTACCACTGGGCTGTGCATAGCCTGTGCAGCAATCAGAGCTCTAGGTGTCATGCAGAAGGACCTTCAACTATAAGCTGTCTGCAGAAAACTACAGGGGGCAGATACAAGACCAGTCACCCTGCACAAGTAGAGAGAGCAGCAGCAACAAGTCTTCATTACAAGATACAGGACCAGACACCCTGCACAAGGAGAGAGACAGAGTGAATGGGGTATGCAGCAGTGACCGGTCTTTATTACAGGATATAAGACCAGTATTGTCATGTTAAATGACAATTTAACATGACAATGACATGACATGACATGACAAAATGACTTGTGTTTAATCCAGAAGTCAGCTTTAATAGATCAAACAGAAAATAATGCCATATTCCAGTTTGGTAAATAAGAGCCGTGGATACAAGCACAACCAGGACAGATGGAAACCTAACATAATATTTGCCATGTCCAAAAGCAAAACTTCCAGATTGCCCACAGAACTAAGTGAACAGTACAACATGTATTTTCACATGCAAAAAGTAATGATTACAAATTACCACAAAGTTTGGGTCATCGCAGTGGAGCTGGGGATTTTCCTCTTCCTCGTCACACTCATCCTCGTCACCAGTCCCCTCCTCTCCTTCTGCTCCAGTCCAGTTATCCCAGTTCCACTCCCCTGTGAAAGAGTCCGGAGTGGTGAACCAGTTTGCGGAAATATATATGGAGTAAAGAGTGGTTGGATAGATGGCAACCACATTGACTCACCATCCAACTCCTCCTCTTCGTCAAACTGTGGCTTCTGTTCCTCCTCTACTCCATAATAATCATCCCCAAAGCATTTCTACAACAACAGAAAACCGTTAAATAGGAGGCTGAATAATGAAATGTAAGATTGATGTTAATATACATAGTTCAGTCAGTCACAAATCAGGGAAGAATAGTCAGAACAGAAAGATGATTCCTGATTGCGGAATAATAGGCCAACTGTACTTCTGCACAGCCGGCATTTCTCAGTAGTGTAGGTGTCAGGGAACCATCATTGGCTGTGACAGGAAAAAACTGAGAAAAGGGAAACGGACCCCGGAGCCACAATTATCCATTGTATTTTTCTAAGGTGAATTGACACTGAGAAGGTTTTCTTAAAGTCAATTTCCTCCTTTGTACGTGATTAGCATGTATCATGGTAATGTAGAGGCGCAGTGATGATGTATGCACATTTTCATGACTCACATTGCTGGCTTTCATAATTTTTTTAATGCACTTTCTAGTGGGCCTGAGCGCCACGAAATGAAAATTTCCTCCACAGGAAACTCAGTCTGACACTGGGGTCAGATTGTAAAGCATCTGACCCCCTCTATGTGAGTCATTGTATCACTGCACACCAGCTCTGCCTTTCCAGGTCACAATACACTGGGGGGGATTGCCACTATGAATAGGGGGGGAAAGAGCATGTTAATTTACCCAGACTGCTTGCAAAGCACAGAGACAGCCATTTCAAAAAGGAGCCAAAAAAAAAGAGTAAGTCTCCATGTTCATACACTGCAACGGCATATCCTTGCTTCATGCTCACTCGATATACATTGCTGGAATGTTTTTAAAAAAAAATACCTTCGCAAAGGTGAAAATGGGCTTTAAAGTGATTCTCTTTTAGCTTTTATACAGTTACTAGATTCTGTAAAGTAAAGGTGATATTCCGACCCTGTCACAACTAATTATATATATCCTAACATATCCTGTAAATCTAATACCTTTGCAATAACCACGGCTCCCTTTCAGTTGTCATTATTTTCTCCTTTCATTTAACGCGGCTATTTTCAACTACCTTTGTCCCTTTCAGTTGCTCCCTTTCCTTGGCCATAAAATAACCCGTACTCCTGGCAGCTGCCAAGGAAGCCTAATATAATATGCACTGCCGTTTTTTTTTTTTAAAGCTTCCCAGGCCTAAGATCAGTGTAGGGCTGACTGCTAATAAGCCAATATAAGATAATAGGCAAGAAATCTAGGAATTTGTTACTTCCATCAAACATTTAGATTAAGTGGAGGAAATTTCTCTGGTCATGTTTTTGAACATTAATGTGAAGGTACCTTCTAACAGAAGCACCCTCAACCATAATCCATCCTGCGCCCAAAGAATAAAAGCCTTCCTTGAGGGACAAAATTAATTCACCTGCATAATCTGTTCATGTTTCTCCGGGTCGAAATCTTCCATCAAGTCCTCCTCAGTAACTCCTAGATTCTGATCTCCGGTCAGCTCCCGCAGCTTCTGCAATTTGTCCTGCAGCTCCTTCCTCTTCAGGTTCTTTAACTGCTTCATCTCCTCCTCCTTCTTCTCTTTCTCCTGTAAATGGGACAGAACAAAATGGCCGCTAAAGCGATTCTTATTGCTCATCTACTTGCCTGCTCCCCTCCCGCAGAAAAATATTTTTGACTTCACCTTCTTCTTCCTCTCCCTTATCTCCTCTCGTTTCATCTTCCTCCGATCGTCTTTCCTCCTCACCGACCGAGCGATGGTCCTGGGAAAAGTCTTAATCTACAAACAGATGGGAAGAAAATCATATGGATTGCATACACTACTATGAATAGACAGAGATGTGACAGCACAATATTCACATTTCTGGACTGCAATTTTACAAGATGAGGAAAAACCAAGAGAAACACCAGTACAGAGATTGACAAAACTTGGGTCCACCAAGGGAGCCATGTCACAATATCTCACCAGCGGCTAAATTACCATGGTGTAACTGACACCCCTGTCCAGAATGGGCATTGCTCCCCCATTGGTTGCAGAATCTTGCTTTGCGAGCAAAGCAGCGGCATACGAATGATTCCTTGCCTATTTGGCCAACGAGTAAGTGACACCATAGGACAAGAAAATAAGTGATCTCTTCGCAAATCTTGCTTATAGCAAGTCATTGACAGCAACAGGACACTAGAGTGACATGACCCTTAGGCTCTTGCAATCTTGGCCACACTAGAAAACAAAGAATTAACTCCTTTTTACACTCACACATTATCTATTCTAGGCCATTGTACTGACTACGGATGCACCGATACTAGTATCGGTGCCGATGCCGAGTACTCAAATAGTCCGACGCCTAGCCCATAACTCAAGCTTCCGGTATCAGGAAGCTGGGCAGCCATTCATTACACGCTCCACACTCCCTCATCACTTGTGATGAAAGCATGGAGCCGGCTTCCCGGCCAATCAGGAAGCCGGGCAGCGTGTAATGACTCTCTGCTCGGCTTCCTGACTGGTCGGGAAGCTGGCCAATCAGGAAGCTGGGCGCCGTGTAATGATGTGACACTCGGCTTTCCGATTGGCCGGGAAGCTGGCTTCATGCTCCCTGCGAATCTTTACACGCCGCCTGGCTTCCTTAATGGGACTTCCGGGATCGGTGAGTACCGGGAAAAAAAAAAAAAAAAAAAAAAATCAGTACTCGTAACCGAAAAACCGGTATCAGTTCATCCCTAGTACTGACTATAAGCTACACTTTGAACACACCCAAGCCACCTCCATGCACCCAGCGCTATACCTACCAATTCAGAATCAGGCTCTTCAAATCGGAAGTTATATTTTCTTTCAAAATCTTCTTGTTTTGTCAAGAAAAGTTCCCCTTCGTCCTCAGAATCAGAGACGTGTGGTGCTTCCTCCAGTGCTGGCGGGCTGAAGGAAAAATACGGGGCAATTTTATCACCGTGAAAAGTAAAGATCAGTGAATCTATGACTCCAAAGCAGATTTTATGGAGTATTAGGAATATGAAAACAGCAGTTTCTGCAAACTAAATGACATTATCAAATTATAATTATATTAGTAAGCTGACTGTATATCAGCACTTTGCGATAAACCTTAGGGGTAGTGTCATTTTAGCCCTTTTAAGCACGCACCTGACTGAAAACCCATACAAAGCGAAATACAGCAACTTACATTTGCTTTATCTCCTTCTAAAAATGCTACTTGCTCCTTTATCACGGGTTCAATACAGACTCATTCTGGGGACAAGCAGCCAGGGAACTAGCATTTTCAGAAGAGTCCAGAAAATGGATGTCTCCTTTGAAAGTTTGTCACTGTGGTGGGGAAGGAGCTCGGTGGTGCTGAATAATTCTGGAGCGCTTCTCCATTTCATATGACAGATCACAGTGCTTGAAATTAAAGACACACAGATCGTTCTGCTAAAATATTTTATGGCTTGTGATGCATCTGAATACTCATCTGGCAGCAGATCACCTTATAAGAAACTAGGGATGTTCAGATACCAGTGCCGATACTTGGCATTTTCACGAGAACTACCAGGGTCACAGTGGCTGCAGCTGCGACTGGGCCCTGGCGCTACACCACTGTCCTGCAGAGTGCCACCATTAGTCAGTATTGATTTAGAAAAAGTCACATGACACTAAACAAAAATGTATCAGTAATTGGTAGCTGAGTTCTTGGACACGTATCGGTGCATCCAATATAATTATTAGGACTTTGCCCAGCATGCATGATGATGCACCTTCGAAGGGGGCATATAAATGAAAAGGATGGACTCAGGAAATGGGCAGAATGAAAAAGTATCGTTCTGCCGGAAGAGGACCTCTGGTGCTGGACTGAGGAAGAAGTCTGGGTCAGCTCTGGAAAGTGTGGGTAGAAACTTTTTCATTTTCATTGTCCAAAGGGTAGAAATGGAAAAAAAAAAAAAAAGGAGTTCCACTTTAAATATATATTTAAAGTTTGGAGGTTTCTTTTGCATCTGTGTGTCATTCAAGAGATTTCCCTTCACTTCCTGCCCTGTAGATACAATAAGAAATTGCTCCATAGTGAGCGAGATCCCCATCTTAGTTGTCACCAGAACAAGGACCCCCATTGGAAGATATCCCCTCTACTCCCGTTCCGGTGACAATAACATTGGAATTTAATTCACTTTCTGTCCCAATAACAACGGTCAGCAATAAAAACCTGAGAGGATTCCCAACCCATTACCACTATCTATATAAAACAAAAATCTGCAGTGTAATCAAATTGTATATCTCACCATTCCTCGTCTTCAGACTCCAATTCAGACTCCACATACTCTTTGTTTAGAATATAATCTCTTAGAAACTTCTCTCCTTCTTCCAGGGAAGGGTCAGTCCAGAATTCCTTCAGATAAGTCTATATCAACAAAACACAACGTGGTTACTGCTGCAGCCAGTGCCATTCACCCTCTGGGGGACCTGCTCTGCTTTTACAGAGAGCTGGTTATGTTTTCTGGAAACAGGTGTAATTCATCCCTAGGCAAGAAGTTTCCATGTTGCTCTAGACAGAATTCCTATCTACTTTGTTGTTTTGATTGGCTCTTCTTTTATGACCAGTTGGAACAGCCAATCAATCCCTAAGCAGTAAAGGCCATAGAAGTTTTGTCAACTGTGTGATTGAAATGTTTGTCAAGGGGCAAGAACGCTGCAAACAGTCTGTGATTGGAGGAAAGTCTGTGATTGGAGGAGAGCCTGATCACATGGTTTTGAAAGGTCATGTGAATACATAGTTACATAGTATTTGAGGTTGCATAAAGACATAAGCCCATCAAGTCCAAACTATTGTGTGTATGCATTTATGTTTGAGCTGGTATGTGCGTGTGTATGAGTCCATGTGTGATCTTGTTCTTAGGAGTACTTGTACCCTTGTATGTTATGGTCTCCAAGGAATTCGTCCAAGAGTTTCTTGAATGATTCCACACTCTTAGCTGAAATCACTTCCTGCGGCAGCAAGTTCCAGACCCTAACCGCTCTAACTGTGAAGAACACCTTGTGCCCTGTGTGTTGAAATTCTTTTTCCACCAATTTTTGGTGGTGCCCTCTGGTCTTTGTTACAGAGCTAACCGTAAAGAGTTTGTTAATAATGTTGCTGTCACCATTGAACAGTTTATACAAGAAAATCAGGTCCCCCCTTAATCTCCTAACCTCCAAAAGAGAACATATTGAATTTTAAACAACCTTGTTTCATAGTTCAGGCCCTCCAACCCCTTAATGAGTTTGGTTGCCCTGCGCTGGACTTTTTTTAGCTCAAGGACATCCTTTCTGAGTATCGGTGACCAAAACTGGACCGCATACTCCAGATGTGGCCGAACCAGTGATCTGTAAAGTGGCAAAATGATTGACTTGTCCCTGCAATACATTCCCTTCTTAATGCAAGACAGGACTCTGCTTGGAATAGGAATTCCTGTTTCTCCAAATGAATCAGGCCTTGCCTGCTTTGGAGCAATAAATAAATCAAGAAGGGGGCAGATCTGTAAAGCACATCACTGCACTTTTATATATGTGCCAGTAGTGTTTCTTCTGTGTTAAAGCTGCAGTATGGCCACCGTAACACCATACCACGGCTTTATATGGGCACAGCTATACCTACCATTTCCTTCAGATCTTCTTTTCCTTCTATGTCTTTCTGCCCTTTCAGCCAGCCAATGTATTCCTCTTCCTCCTCGTCCTGCAGGAAGGTCATGGGACATGTTGTTATATTAACAGTAAGAAATATATATTTTTTTTTTTTTACACACACACACACACACACACACACACACGTTGCAAACGCTAGGCTAGTGGATCAACAATTCATAAAATCTTTAGAGCAGGACAATTCAATGTATATGTACACACATGTAGTAAACTGTTTTCCACATAGAAGTGCACCATTGTCACCCGCCTCAATGTGAAATTTCAATTCTTCTTTTACATTCTGATTAATTTTGCTCCGAACATTATTAATGTGGCTAGGGCACGAAAAACACGTTAAGAACATTTCTTGTTGGCTATAGCAACCAGCTTCCAACGATCATTTCTGTAGTACAGAGTTGATAAAATAGAAAAACACAAAAATGGGGCTTCATAGGTACCAGACACCACTACCATATAGTTCTGATAAAACTAAACTTATACAATCTTTATTAGTTAATGTACATAAAAGACAAAAGTAGAATATAAACAGGAACAAATTAAAAACAGTCCCACTAACATTGCTGAGCACTCTCCTTGAGACCCTCAGGTTATTAGACAATAGCAGTAATAGAATTCGGATAAGAATAGTTCTCGGGTCACCACCATGATCCAAAAACTTAGTCATGCTTGTATTTTGAAAACAATCAAAAAGGTATGATGCAATTTCGTTCTCTACACGTTTCGCACCCACAGAGGGGGCTTACTCGGGAGGGAGGCGCTCTATAGTGCTTATTTGCTCACATGGCCAAAAGGAGAGAAAGGAGATGCAACAGTTTAAAAGCATGTAGAGGTAGTGTCTCACTCAACGGGCACATCTGGGTGGACATGGGTCTAAAAATATGTTACAATAGAAGTACCCATGTCCAACATGTCTCTACAGCAATGGAGTGAGAGAGACACGCTGAACATCGGGCTGGAGCAGACAGAATCTAGAGCAGCTGTGCATGGTGACCAATCAACTTTGGGCTATGATTTTCAAAGCTTAGATAGAAGCTGATTGGTTACTGTGCCCAACTGCTCCAGATTCTGTCTGGTCCAATTTTAGTAAATGTCCTTTACAGGATATGGGGATAGCCTTCAAATCAGCACTGTTTCCCGTTGTCCACCTATAGAAATACAGTATTTGTATCAATAGTCCCTCATAGCAGTGGTTCTGGGACAACTTGAACAAAATCCCAGTAAGATGAGGATAATCAGAAGTAATAATTGTCAGCATAGACCTTCAACTCCTCAAATTCAGCAAAAACACACAGACATATACGGATGGTGAGATATTGCTCACCTCTTCTTTTTTGGTTTTCACTCGTTTGGTTAACAGGTTAGCTGTGGTCCCAACATCCTCTTCACTGTCACTGTCCTCAACAAACTTTTGAAAACTGGAAAAAAAAAAAAAGTGTAGACATTTTATAAAGGTCATTAATGATAAAACGATAGGAAGCCAAGACACATAGCTCCTCCCGTCTGTGTCACCAAGTGATAAGGACTTAGAGATGTCCCATCGCACTCCTAACCTAAATCCCACCCAATGAAGCTCTGGTGGGTGGCAACCAGCGGATGGCGCCTCATAGAACGGTAGAAAATAATGAAGTTACCAGCACATAGAGTTCCACCTTATCACTCCGTCTTCATTGACATCAGATTATCATGGTAGCACAATGAAACGGAAGGTTTGGGAACCTCATGCGGTTCCTTCATCAGGCAAACAATGTGAAGACATATTCATAATAAAGGCAGTACTGTGGTGATGGACATCCACCTGCAGGAGGAAAAGTGATGGCCCATTATACTCTTCCTTCCCATAAGTGGATGGAAGGAAGAGTATAATGGGCCATTACTTTTCCTTTGATAGTCATGACTCCTTGATCTGCAGATATACATTCAGTATGTCACATAGCTCCCCCTGTCTGTGTCACCCTGTGGTGGGAAGGACAGACTACATGTCACATAGCTCCTCCTGTCTGTCACCCTGTGGTAGGAGGGACAGACTCCATGTCACAAAGCTCCCCCTGTCTGTGTCACCCTGTGGTGGAAAGGACAGACTCCATGTCACATAGCTCCTCCTGTCTGTGTCACCCTGTGGTAGGAGGGACAGACTCCATGTCACAAAGCTCCTCCTGTCTGTGTCACCCTGTGGTGGAAAGGACAGACTCCATGTAACATAGCTCCCCCTGTCTGTGTCACCCTGTGGTGGAGGGACAGACCCCATGTCACATACAGTAGGTGCGCCAACTATACACAAGCTGCTCCGAGATTTTTCTAGTGGTGCAACTCCAGGTACTGCAAAGTCCTAATGTCTTTTCTGCTAGTCACAATAGTACAGAAGACATCATAAAAATGGAAGCGTTCACAAGTTCCCGAAAAAAACCTCAGCAGCTCACCCACCTTTCTTTGATTTGCCTCTGTTCCTCTAGGTAAGTTGGGGATCGAGAACGCTGCAGACAAACAAAAGAACATCAATAATACTGCTCACAAGCAAGGTTACAGTTACTCATAAATAAAGTACACCTGCCTCTATTCTACATCATAACCGACACATTCTGGGCCTTCAGTCCAATAAAATACCCAAGTGGATTTCATCTGTTCTCTACCACAGGAGAGTGTGTAAAAGATGGCATCTGTCTATGAACAGCACATACAATTCTCCTCAGACACTTAAAACTTGGGCTCTAGAAATGCAACCCACGACATGGCTGCCATGACCAGGCTCTTTTTAATCCTCATAACTGACATTGTTGTGTCCCACCTATTATGTATTTTGTGCTGTTGCATTGTTTTGTATTACAATTCCAATGTTCTGGATCTACTGACATCCAATGGTTGATTAGTGTCACAGTAACATGTTCATTTCTAGATTTAGTATTACCCTCTGTTCTCCCCTGCTGTTCAGTGCTAGTTAGTGCAGTAGTAGCTAGTCCCTCCGTCTTCTCCATGCTTCTTCAGTTAGTCTCTTTATAGCAGACACTGGGCTGGGAAGAGCATTAACTTTTTACACTTCAAAAGACTGGTAAAACCCTCTTCTGCACTATTGAGTAAAACTGCATTGGACTCAAATTGTGTATTATTGGGGAGTTAAGACTGTCTGTGGATTGTGCTGAATCAACAAGTGACCATGCTGCCAGCACAGATCAAGATCTAAAGGAGGGAGGTATGTTTATGCATAAAGCGGCATTTGAAATAGAACAGGCATAAATAAAGCACTATCATAACAGCTGTCAGGTGCAAGGTTCTATAAAATGCCAGAACACACAGCACTCAATGTGCTCTGAAATGGAGCCACATGTCTGCGGAGATTTGAATCATCTTCTGCTGTAGGTAGAATCTCACAAATCTGATGAGCCTAAAAATGTCACCCCTTTTTCTCCAATGTTCTGAGGGGTTAGGCCCCGTTCAGATCTGTATGTATAGAGGTTGTATGTGCATTGGGTGTTATACATGCCTTACCACCAAACTCTATGTAATGTGTGTTTACTACAAATCAAAGATGCAGCAGGCAGGACTTCCATTGCACCAAACCCACAAGGCGTAGGTGTGGACTGGGCCTTACATGAACAGGCCTGATCATTGCAAAATGAGAGGCAGAGCAGTGTCAACCGACAACCAAGGGTTAGGAACGGCAGCTCATGCCCAATGAATCCATAAGCCAACACACACGTACTTACCTGATCTTGTAATACGCCTTCCTCTCCATCTGAGCTTTCTTCATCCTCATATTTCCTACAAGAAAAGACGAGTAGAATAATGAGGCTCTTTTAACCTCTTGCCGTCCGCCCGTAGTAGAAAAACGGACGGACGGCACTGCTGCATTGGCGACGGCAACCCAAAAATTCATTTCAGTACAGCGCTGCATGACGGAATAAATGTCAGTCAAAGTACCGCAGCGCTGAATACTGAAAAATGGCCTGGATGGGAAGGGGGTTTAACACCGCGGATGTCAACTGGTTAAAATCAAAGTTTTCAGAGTTACAAATCAATGTATTGCCATGGCAGTCACTAACACCACCTCACCCTTCCTTCTCCAGGATCACTTTCCGCTCGTAGTCTTTTAGGTACATAGGCTTCTCCTTTGTGGATTTACTCTGACTGGCAGCCGGCTGATCTGAAAGGCAGAGATGTGTTTTCTTAGCAAAATGGAAGCAGTAAAGTCTTTCTCCTGTGTAGATCCTCCTATTCACGTACACATAAATATGACATTTGTCAAGGAAGAAATATTTTTCAGAGCCCCTTAGATGGGACTTCAAAAGAAAGCAGCCGACTTCCGCAATGCAACATACATTCCATATCAGATCTGAATGGTCACATGCAGTTTAGTGTAATAACTCTTGCCATGATATTTGATAAATAGGGCAAACAATACTTTAAAAAAAGACAAAAGAAAATAAGAAGATTATCCCTCTAGAAATCTAGGTGGAAGGTACTGATAGCACAAAATTGCGCTTCCACGTGTGGAAAGTTTTTAACACCACATAACCGTTATGACTTTAAACACAGAGGAAAAGCAAACACAGAGCTCCATAGAGGTAGGGTGTAGATACCTCTTTCTTTGTAAAAAGTGGCATCCTCTTGGTATATCCTAGGATCTTTCTTTTTGAGCAGAGACAGGGTACGGTAAAATTCCTTGTCCAGTGCTGGATCAATCGTCTAGAGAGAAGGGAAACGAGATCAGCAGAGGAAAATGACAGCACACACAACACATCGGGGCCATTTTTAACAGCCAATGAAGAGACCTTTCTGCAATCTAGAAAAAAAATGGAAGCCAACCTTAGCATAGTAAAGTACATTTATATCAGCAGCTGTGAAGGAGGACACTAGTGACATAGTAGATGGAGGGTGAAACCACAGCGGGGGAGACACAGCCACCCAACACAACGCTGGAGAGTGAAGATGGGCTACAAGGGAAGCTGCACTGGTAAGTGTTATAAATGTACTTTACTAGGTTGTGCTATTTTTTTGTGTGGTTTCTAGTAATAAATAAGATCATCCATGTCAAATCAGAAAATAAAATCCAGCTCGCCCATATAGACAACAGCAAAAATTGCTCCCTGTTTATCTTGCCTTTTACATTAGAACCAATATAAAGGCTTGAGCACACAGGCACCTGGGGCCATATCATGTAAATTTATCTGTCCCAGGAGTCACCCATAGAAAACAATGGATGTACTTGGGAATATACCATACCGGTGTAAACACATGCATGTGTATGGAACTACAACCCGAAATGCAGACAGTCTGTGTTTGCGGTTGTATGTCCGTATGCATGTGTGCGTTTATGCACATCCAGCCCAAATTTACATTATACAGCCCCAGGCATCTGTGTGCATGAGCCTTAAATGGGATTCACTTGTACACTTCATAACTTATTAATGAAGGTTCGGCCTCATGCAAATCATTGGGGCTTCACTGACATCTTCTATGACAGCTGGGATTTGATTGGACACTTATACCCCATTCACACGGGATGTTCTGGGATGCCTGTAGCAAGAACCTATGGAATTCTCGTGACAGGAATCCCGGGTGTCAGAACCGACGGCTGTAAATATATTGAAATAAATGACAGGGTGATAGCGGCTACACCTCCCAGCGTCAGTCCGCATCGTACATGGTACAATTACTTGCAGTTTGGAATAGATGATTGTCGCTGGACGCATCTATCCTGCTTCTGTGAGATGCGGCCGCTGTCACCTTGTCATTAACTTTGCATCTGAACAGGACAACAGGGATTCCTGCCACAGGAAAGCCCCGTGTGAATGGGGCATTACACTTTTTATTAGCAAGGTCCAAAATTCAGAGGGCTGCATTCAAAACTCACCGGCTCATTTTCAGACTCCGAGCTGGAAGACTCGCTGTCCTCTTCTTCTTTGTTCCCATACCGATCCTTTACTACAAGAGACAGAAATACCCATTTCAGATCTATGAGCAAGCACATTCAAAGACTTATCAGGGATGTTTTCCTTAAGGGCAGGTTCACACCATTTTCCGGACCAGACCTGGTCCGGAAAATGGTGCATTCCAGACCAGACAAAATGAGAGATGCAGTATTTTTCTGGTCTGGAACGGACTGCGCTGGTGCGCTGATTGCTATAGTTCTGTCAAACCTGCCCATGATTGCCTCCTGGGGAAACAGATGGGACTGACCTGCCTGTTTTAATAAATCCCCCTTAATGTATAACGGAAGCCTTGACATAAGCCTGTGTAGTGCTATGTACACATCTACTTTACAACTGATGCTGAGATCTGTCAGCACAGGTACAGACAGGGTTAATTATGGTAAACAACAACTACCCAGCCTCCCCCTTAAAGCCCAGCTCCAGGGACAATAATCTTCCTGAAGTACAGTAAGCTGTACAATGCCTTTTCAGCTCAGCTGCTCCCCAGGGAGAACCATAAGTCTCAGCATGCCCGCCAGTGCTGCCGAGTCCTGCACACCATGAACAGATGCAGACACACACACTCTAGGCCCGGAGTACAGCCTGGACCTACAGAGGCGGACTATGCCTGGTGAGGTATGAGGAACGCTCCGTCGGACCGGTAACTACTCACGTCGCTGCAGCTCCTCCTTCTCCCGGTAACGTTCATAACGCTCAGCGAACTTGCGATTAATCTTCAGCTCTGCCATGCTGCTCCGGGACAGGAAGCACGTTAAAGTGCGGAACACGCCCCCCTTGCTACGTCATGCGTTCCAGGAACCCCCACCTCCGCAAATCAACGGCAAGCTCATGCGTTCCAGCCTGCTCTCAGCCAATCATCTCTGAGGTAGGTGTGGTTAGTCTGTAGATTTTTTTTTTATAAAGGGAAATGCAACTTTTTTGTTGCCTAAATGTTTACTTTTGGATCCTTCTTCTGCCATGTACCGGTGGGTGCTCTTATTTTACCGCCTGGGCATTTTTATTTTATTTGTTTTTTCAAATATTGAATGGATGTGATTTTTATTAACCCCTGGCAGATTTTTGATTACCATCTGTGTCTCATTGGGGAGATGTTCACTTCCTGCCCAATAGGCATAGCAGGAAGTGAGAGGAAATCCCTCCAAAGTGAAGGAAATCAATGGTGGTCACCAGAACTAGTGTCCCCATTGGGAGATTCCCCTCTGTTCCTGTTAATAGTGACAACCCAAAATTTGAGAATTTCTTTCACTTTAGGTGATAACATTCACCAGGACAAGTAGAGAGGACAGATCTCCCTAACGGGGACACAGACCGCCGTAACATCCTGACGTGTTCTAATCCCTCTCTGCTCCATCCAAGACTTAAAATAAAAGTTTGGGCTTTATTTCTAGTTTAACTCTTTCATTGCCACTGCTGCTTGCAATGTAAGCAGAGATGGAAGCTTGTTTACATGCCGCCCAATCATTTTCATGGGCCAACAAAGGTGCCACCCTCCTCTCCGGCTCGATTGCCCCCCGCCAGGTATCCCAGGTTTTGCTGCCCCTTCTGTGGGCCAGGGACCGGTATGCTGGGTGTTGGTAGGTGGGGAGAAGGACGTTAAATGAACATTCATTCGCTGATCATTCCTGTGCTAGTCACACCATATCCAGTGCTTTCCGGTGCGGTTCGCACCCAGAAAACACTGGATCGCATAGATCAAACCGGGCAGCGTTCTGGAGCGGGAGGAGGTGTGTCGGTGCCATTCATGTCAATGGCACCGCAGACATGCCCCCCACCCCCTTGCAGTGCAATCGCCCACACCGGAATGCAAGGTACCGGAATTCCCTCCGTTCCAGTGCAGTGCGATCTGAAAAAAATGCTGCATGCCTTCTGGTGCGGGCGATTGCACTGCGGGCGGGGGGCTTGTCTGCAGTGCCATTGACATGAATGGCACCGACACCCCCGCACGCCCCAGAACGCTGCACAGCTTGATCTATGTGATCCAGTGCAATCCGGCCGCGAACCGCACCGGAATGCACTGGAAACGGTGTGACTGGGCCCTAAACCCGGAAGCTTTTCGTCACTTCCAGTTTCAGCGCCGTGGTCAGGGATTAGGCTGATCAAGCACGATCTATGCTTGATCAGCTTCTATGGAGTGCAAACTTGACATTAAGGCAGGGGTGCGCAATTCATTTTCTCAGGGAGCCACATAGGAATCTGGGAGCGCTGAACTGATTAATGCGTGATACCAGGCAACGGATCTAGCGTGCGTTACCGTGTGGCAGGTGTTTTGCATTGCCATTTACTTGAATGGAACCCCCAAACATACCTTCTGGCCCAATGCGATTAACTGCGCTGCAAAACACGCGGTACCGTATACCATGCAGTGCGGTTGGAAAAAGTAGTGCAGGGAATGGTAGGTGCGTTGCACAGTAGTGTGCGTTAGTTTCTGCTGGGCAGGAAACTACACATGCCAAACCCCAACCCCCCCCGCAACCAGGGAGGGTGGGGCTTAGAATGTGACCACGTTATATGTTATACCCTACATATGGATGCAACAGGGAACAGGGTCAGAGAGGTAAATATAATCGGATTACCCTGAAAATGATTTGCGCAGAGCTTGCGTCCCTATAGGTTCTATCACACATTCCACATAGAGATTACATTGTACTAAGATTCCGCTCTCACCAATCCAGATAATCCCGGCAATCCGCGGACACAAGAAGCCGCTTTCATCGTAAGAATGGAACACTCCAGATGAAGCAAGTGACCTGTAACGGACTTTAGTTTTGGAATGGGAACAAAACAAAAAAATATGTCCCATAAAGATTTGTGATGATTGAAGGAAGGGGGAAATGTATCAAAACTAGGACAGTTGCCCATAGCAACCAATCAGCTTCTCGCTTTGTTTGCTCAATTAAGCATTGAAAATGAAAGATAGAAGCCGATTGGTTGCCCCAGATCCTGTCTGCTCCAGTTTTGAGAAATTCCCTTAAAAGAGAACTATAGGGTAACCTTTTTATCTCATAGTTCTCTTTAGGGTCACAGGAGGACATATACTAACCTTATACTAAGCACCCTGTCCCTTTGTTTATGGTCAGCTGTGGTGTGAAGGATGCCCTGACCCTCAGCTAATTGTGCATGAGGCCCATGTTTGGGAGAGCTCAGGTTCAGACCCAGCTTGGTCTGAACCTGACCTCATCCCTACTCACAATTCATAAGAAAGCCAGCTCCCTGCTATGGGCATGCTCACTCCAAACTTGTAGGCCACCATTAGGCTCTCATATCACTTGGTGGATGATGTCAAGATTTGACGTGAATGGAGGTTCTTGCATAGCATAGTAGATTATCTAGTCTAATCCAAGCACATCAACCTCTGACTGCTACCTCAGTATGCCACCACTAGATGGAGCTATGCTTACTCCAACATCCCCATTCAATTCTATAGGGCAGGGGTAGGCAACCTTGGCACTCCCAGCTGTTGTGGAAGTTCAAGCCCCATGGGTCATTGATAGACTCCGACATCCCCAGGCATGACTCCCAGGAGGTGGAGACACGATGGAATTTGTAGTTTCAGCACAGCTGGAGTACCGAGGTGGCCTAGCCCTGGTGCAGGGACTAACGGCAAAGGCAGCGTTGAAGATTTCAAGCCAGATAAAAATAAAATTTTGGCTGCAGCTGGAAAAGGAGCAATGATGAAACTTGTCCTGTTAAAGAATACAATGAAATGAACCCAAAACGATGACAGGTTCCTTTAGGCCTAGTTCACACCAGGCCCAGTGCTTTCTGGCCCAATTCAGTGCCAGAACGCACTGGATCGCATCCCAGCAGTCTCACTGCATTCTGAGATGGGGCGTGCATTGGTCAATTGCACTGCATTGCACCCCAGTACTTTCGCCCCCACTGCAACACGTGGCACATCAATGCCAACATTCCAGCGCGACCAGAAAAAATGCTGCAAGCACTATTTTTTGCAGATCGCACTGGACCGGAACGCAGGCACCAATGTGCCTACGTTCCCGCACACTGCGGGTGGGGGCGTGGCTACGGTGCCATCGACTTCAATGCACCAAGCCCCCTCCCGCCCCCGAACGCTCTGGAACGCGGACTTTGTGCCATGAGCTGGCCCACAATCATATTTAGGGCAGGCTCACACCAATTTCCAGCATTGCGTTTTGCCGCGTTCGGGAGCTGTTTTTTTTTTTTTAAAAGCTTAAAATGGTCTTACAGGTGCATTCCAGTGCGTTTGTATACTTTTCCATGCGTTTGTGTTCCAGTCCATCCCAGACCAGACAAAATAAGATAAACAGTATTTTTCTGGTCTGGAACGGACTGCGCTGGCGTGAACAGAGGCCAGAAATAGCATAGGGATACATCAGGATGCATTTTGTGTCCGGAAACAATCTGGTCTGGAGATGATCTGCATGTGGTGTGAATGGGCCAAAAACATTATTATCGGCACACAGCCCACATTTCATAAATGACATACATCTTTAATGACTCAAGTCAGCCTTTTTCATTTTTTTTTAACATTTATTTCATTTTTAAGAGCTAGCGATATTAACATTAATAAAACACAAATTAAATTCACCACTTTTTATTTTAAGTTAAAACACCAAAACAGCTCAAAAACAATTAAATCCACAAATATTAAATATTAAAAAAAAAAAAACAGCAAAAAAAATCACATTAACAATTAATAGCAAGGAGGCACGGAGTACCTCGCACGGCCACCAAACACACACCTGTCGTAAACGTATTCAAAAGCGCTCAATAAAAATGTAACAGTTTTAGAAGATTTCCAGTCCAGAATAATTAAAAGCAATGGATCCAAAAGGGAAAAAACACCCCACCCCAGAAGATCTCTGCTAAAAGGAGGGGCATCAGATTTCAGACTGGCAAATCCTCACCTTCAGTGCAGATCACATGACTAAGTGCCGAGGCATTTCTCCACATGACTGGCTGCCCTGAGGCCTGGAGCCGCAGCTTCTTCAGGACCGCTAAGCAGTTCAAGGTTTCTTTAAGCATATTTATATGATGAAAGATGGGCTCTGATAGTCATTTAAAAAAGGAACTTAGCAGGACAAAAGTATTGCCTGCTCTGCAGCTGCACATAAACAAAAGGGGTGGATGCTTGTGCTGACATCGTTGACCCATGTGGCCATATAAGGTCAATGATATCACAGCATCCTGTCCCTTTGCTTACGTGCAGCTGTAGGGTGGGGAATTCCCTGGCCCGCAGCTGATTGGGCAGATGGCTCCATGTCCCTTCTGTGTTCAGAAGGACTCCGGTTTGCACTGGGTTCAGTCTAAACCTGAGCTCATCCCTACTAACGAAGCAGGAGCTTCCTTCTGTGTTTTGAGGAGTGCAGGTTCAGACCCAACCTAATCCAAACCTGAGCTCCTCTGAACCTGGAAGGGACACAAGGCCACCTTTCCAATTAGCTGTGGGTCAGGGCATTCCACGCCACAAGCTAGTACATCTCCTTAGCAGAACTGTGGAAGCCAATGGGTTGAGTGGTGAAACGTCTTGGGCCAGGTTCACACCTAGGCGATCCGTGACCGCGCGGCAATCGTGCACAAAACCGGGCGGATTGCCGCGTGGTCACGGAGTCGCTCACCACAACCGATCGCACTGGTTGTGCCGTTATTTGCTAATGGCACCCCAGTCGCGCTGGGTGCATTGCGCGGTTTCCCGTGTGGCAAAAAAAAAGTACATATACCTTTTTTTTAGCGATTGCCGTGTGCGCGGATGTAACCCCATTGAAATCAACGTGGCCGCAACCGC